ATCCCGCGCGATCGGGGATCGGGGTTCGGGGTTCGGGTTCGGGATCGGAGATCGGGGATCGGGGATCGGGGTCCGGGAGTCGGGCCGCCGCCCCGTGCGCGTTAGATGCCCGGCCGGCCCTCAGCTCCTGCGTCCTCAGGGCGCTATGGAGGGCGGAGATGGGTGAGGGCCCAGCAGCCGCCGGCTTCTCTGCGATCCTCCCAGCCCCTTCGCGAGGATCCTGTTCCCCACTTCACAGATGGAGAAACTTGGACACAGCGACCACTAGCGCTGTAGTGACTCAGCTGTTAAGAAGCTCAGCTAGGGATCAAACAGCGCTTCTTTTTAATACGTGTTTTTAGATACATGAAATTGTAAATATTTGTAGGATCTAGTGTGATACTTCATTGCACTTCAGAGCCACTAAAACCAACTGAACTTCCATTGGACGTTTAAAACCAGTAAAACTTCCTAGATGCTTAAAAGATCCCAGGATAGGGGAAAAATAAAATTGGAGGCTGGCAGTAAGGTGATTATCGAATTTTTACCGAGTGCTGGGCAGAGTTTCAACATAGTGCATTGCATGTAGTATTCTGATCTCCTTTTTGGGGATACTGTTTCATCCGTATTTAGCAGATAGGAAAACTTGAAGCACAGAGGCAAAGCTAGGATTTATACAGCCATTCTGATTTCAGGGTCTTTACCCAGGACCCTCTGATGATGGAAATTCGTGGTGAAGGGAGTTGCTTCCTGATTTGTGTGTTTGCTTTAATTCCACCTTAAAAAGCATGTTAGAACATAGTCTCTTTGGCCTCCTACTACCTAATCCAACATAGTCCGTGCCTCTGCCTGCTGTAGGGTGACCAGCAATCCCACTTTGCCCTCAAATGAGGGAATGTTAAAACTGGGAAGGCGCCAGTCGGCTCAGGGTGAGATGCCCACCCCAAACATCTGATCACCCATAAATTCTTGTTTAGTACCATGGGAAGTTCTGGGATCATGGGGATTCAGGCAAGTGTCACAGTTACGGGGAGGCACTTTGCCTCTGGTATTTTGTTAAATGAGGGCCTCTGTTGTCGGGTGAGGCCTTTTAATCCCCTAGGACAGTGGTGGCAGACCTATGGCAGTTGTGCTGCAGCGAGCTGTTTGTGTCATTGAGAGATCTAAAAGGTTCGGCGTCACTGCCCTGGAAGTTACTGGGTGTAGATTGCCCTCGTCTTATAAACATGAGACAGATAGCTGCAAAAATTTCAGTTACCAATCTTTTCCTCTTCCACAACTTATTCAGTGATTTTCTTTTCAGCACGTGACATGGCACAATCTGAGTTTTAAGTGATGAAGATAACAGTTAAGTTCTTCCTCTGTCCTCTAGCGTGATAGGCTTAGGCTCTTGGGCACAGTAAGGCATCGCTGAAATAGTCGCCTAAACTAAAATTTCCAACTCTGAACTGCGAAGGAAAAGCTTGAGAAGAGGGTGGAAACAGGGTGGGTCTCTTGGAAGCAGAGAAGTGGCGAGGTGGTCGTATTAACTTGGGGTCTCTGAGATGACGTAAGGAGCGGAGGGCAAAGCTGGGCAGGGAGCGAGGCTTTCAATAGAAGGAAGGTCTTGGGTAAATACTTGGAGAGCATTGAGTAAAGAAGGCTAAAATAGCAGAGAACCAGGAGAACATGGGGTGGGGGTAGGTGGTGGCCAGAACGTAAAGGGTCATGATTATCTTTGGCACCACGGGGCCTGTGCGGTAGACGCAGAACCCTCCTGAAGCTGTTTCCTGGCGCAGTTCCGCGCTGTCATCTCAAGGGGAAAACATGGAGGCATGTGGGGATGCCCTTTGAGTGTAATAAAAAGCAAATTATTTGCAGCCTGGAACACTACCTTTGTGAACACGACACATTTTCCCTCCCAGTTGGTCCTAATGTTGCTGGCAGAATGTCTAGGGAGGATTCAGACCCCTCGGCTTTAACCAGGGCCCTGGCTCCAGGCCGCTCTGGCTTCTGTTCATTATCTTCAGTTTAAGGAGTGTCCGTTCCCCAGAGACTGTCTTTGACCTCTGTCTGCAGAAACCTTTCACCTCAGATCTCCAGAATCCTTCATCCCCAAACTTACTGTCACTTCCACATTTATCACCACCTAGCATTGTCTTGTTCATCTTGGGTTTTTTGCCACCTCTTCTGCCAAGACTGTGAGTTGGCCCAGTCTTCCTGGGGGTCGGCCTCTGGCTTTTTTAACACAGTGCCTGGCCCATAGCAAAAAATCCTAAATAATTGTTAAATGTGCTGGGGAGAGTAAGTAATGTGACTCAGGGTCACATAGGAAATGAACATTTCCAACTCTAATGAGGGTGTGAAAGAGATAAGGGTTGAAGGGAAGTCTGAAGTCAGGGAAGATGGTGAGCTGGCGTGAAAGGTGTGAGTTCACTGCTAGTGACTTGGTCGGTACCGTTACAAAAGAAGAGCAGACTGAAATAGCCTCCCTCCTTCCGGTGACCCAGCTGTCAGTATTCGAGCTCTGTGTGGGCACTGCAGAGTGTGCTGCTCTTCCATAGAATCCCCTTAAGGTATCTTCTGTCAAGAAGAGGGTGTGGTCAGAGCCCAGGGCTTTGTGTTTTCTCTCTATACCCGCCCAGTCTTACTTCTCTTAGGCCCAGCAGGATTTCTTGTTCTTCCTTTGTAGTGATTTTGGACACACAGCCTTCAGGAGATCAAGTGTTGAACTTTACTGTATCCTGTCTGTGGGCTCAGTGCTCATCTTATCGCCTCTTGCAAGGCAGGATCAGCTGCTTCACTTTATATGACAAATCTGAGGAAGTCTCAGAGATGGGAGTGATTTGTGCAAAGTTCTTGCTTGTGTGGCTTGGAATCCATTCTTACTTTCCTCCACTCTGCTGCGAGAAAACAACTCTGGTAGCGATGACACATGGCCTCTCTTATGGCACTGTCTCACATGCCATTTTGGGGGTGATTTCAGGGAAAAAATTGACCTCTCAGTGTTTTGCACGTGCAGTTAAGAATTATCTTCTCTGCAAAAACACAAGTTCATTAGAGAACTATTATAGAGCAGGAGGAGTCACAGCACCCACTGCTGTTGGCCATCCAAGGCGGTGGCTTCCTACCTTCTCCTGTGGACCACCCCGCCCAGGGGCTGCATTTGCTGAGGTGCACATTTCTCTCACCCACCCTCGCATTAAGAATCCTGACCACCATAAGGAATTGGGCCCAGGGGCCACTTGCCTGCTGGTGGCTGCTGTTTGTTGGGGCTGTGACAGGAAACATCTGCTTTGGAAAGGCAGAACAATGCAGGTGGGCAAATTTTCCCCAGAACTTTACAGTGCATAACTGAACCCTTGAGTCTGATCCAGCAAGATTTAGATTCAAATTCAGAGACCATGAGCCTCAGCGTACGCCACCAGGGAAGCTCTGTGTTAGGCATTTTCATGTGAACTAGCCTTTAAAACCCTCACAATGACAAATGCATCTGTAAATCCACAGCGAGGCGTTCGGGGGACTCAGTATTTAAGTGCAGTGGTGCAAACTCTTCAGGCAAACAGGACTTCTTTATAATTCTTCATTCTCCGTGTGCTTAAACTGGCAGTCTCAACAGAGATGAAGTAACGTGAGCACCAAGACGCCCACGTAGAGGTGTTCCCAAGGTGTCTTTAGTGGTGCTCTGTGTTCCCCGATTTCATATGCATGGAAACTACAGGGCCACACCCTTGGAGCTGTAACTGTCCCCAGGGGAAGGGTTTTTTAGGATAAGCTTTGGGCCTAATGGTGGGCCTGATGCTTGTGAAATTGTTCATTGGGAGGAGAGCCTGATACGGAGGAGGACCAAGTTGTGGTGTCCGCCTTTCCGTCCTGACCTTTGAGCCTCGGGAGAGAAGAAAGTGCACTGTCTTATGTCACTGGTCACAAGCGCCCAGGTAGAGCGTGGAGTGTGGATATTGCGAAGCCATTTCTGTTACTGGCAGAAGAGCCTCTAGTCCTGCTGAAGCTGCAGTTGTTGTATATCGATCGGTATGATAAATTATGTGTGTTTATGCATAACAAATACACCTTCAGTAAGGACTACTTTTATATGCATCTTTAATTCTTTAGTAACCAAGTGTGCTTGCTCCTGTTTTATAAATAAGGGAAAGCCTAAGAATATGGGATTTAACTTCTTTTTTAATACATAGAAACCCTTTGTGGCTTTGGGCAAATTATTTAAACTCTGTGCCGGGTTTTTCCATCCGTGCAATCGTATTGGTGATCTCCCTTCCTGAGACTGCAGGTTGTACTTGCTCCTGTTTTATAAGGGAAAGCCTAAGAATCTGGGATTTAACTTCTTTTTTAATACATAGAAACCCTTTGTGGCTTTGGGCAAATTATTTAAACTCTGTGCCGGGTTTTTCCATCCGTGCAATGGTATTGGTGGTCTCCCTTCCTGAGACTGCAGGGCCCTTAACCGAGTTCCTGATACACAGTAAGAGCGCGGTCAGTGTCAGCTGTTTTAGTGTCACGTGGATACTTTATGTCAGCCAAGCATTCATTGTATCCAGGTTGCGGATTTAATTGTATTAAATATTAATTTTTTGATACTAAGTGTTCAGTTTTCATGATTTCTTAGTGAACTGTACCTCATGAAGGCCTGTAAATAGTTTCTAGAGTCATCATTTCTACCCTGTGTGGAGTAAGCCCTGAGATGCTTCACCCTCTGGCTAGTGTATCAGTCAGCCCAGACACTGTAGGAACCTGTCTGATTTCTGGTAACCACAGTCAGCTCGTATGGATTTTAACTCTGAAAAAAAAAATCTAGTATGAGGCATTTAGGAGCATTCATTGGTCACTAAGTGTTTGCTTCCTGGGTTATCTTGATGAAACAATGTTCCAACTCAGAAAATTGTGCTGTCAGCCAAAAGTTAGCAAACTTCTTGTCTTTTTAGGACTTATTAGTTCTTTATAATTGAAAAATTTTTACAGTATTAAGAATTATTCTATAGACTATGGGAAAAATTACAGGTCTGTGAACAGGTCTTAGGCTCACACAGCAAAAAAATGAGTTAAGTGGTTTGCTTGTGATAATCTGTACCCCCTGGGATTTTTGACTATGAAGGCAAGTGATGTAAATTATTTTATAGCAATATAAAGCTAGCCTACAGCCTCCACATTAAACATTTTACAAATATCACATACTTTTTCAGGCTGCAGAAGACGTCAATGTTACTTTCGAAGATCAACAAAAGATCAACAAATTTGCACGGAATACGAGTAGAATCACAGAGCTCAAGGAAGAAATAGAAGTAAAAAAGGTACTGGATGTATTTATCATATTTCAGAAAAAGAAAAGTCTTTGATGCTGTAGCTCTTTAAAACTGGATACTGTTAATCAGTAATTCCCTCTCTCTGGGCCCTGAGTTGCTGATGACACTGACCTCCCTAGTTACAGCAGCAAGCTGTTTTGTAAGGGAATGTGAGCTGGTGAATGCAGTTGGTGTGGGCCTTAAGTCCAGGCAGAGGTCCTGGGAGGAAGGTCCAGAGGCACAGCTGCGAGGCCTCGGCCCGCGTGGGACTGAGCTGGCTGCTCCTGGACGAGGAAGCTGCCTCTGCAGGTCCGGCGGCCCTGAGCTTCCGTTGCCGCTGGCCTGGGCTCTAGCCTGCGCCCTGCCTGTGCGAGAGCTGCTGTCTTGAGGCCCAGTGGAGTACACCCGACTGGCGGGATTACAGTTCCTGTTGACACCTCGGCAAGTGCAGCTGAGAAAACGATTGTTTGGGTTTTGTTTTTGTGGGAAGGAAGGACTCCCAGAATGGGAAATTGTGGCCACAGAGAACTGCTGCCCACCACAGGGTGCTTTAGTAATCTGAAAGTAGCCAGCAGACATCGTGCTAGCACTTACGTGCTTCCACTGGGTAAGAGATCAGCGACACAAAAAGGGTCTCTCGGGGAGTTAGTTTCCCTGAATTCAAATTGGCTCTTCTGGCGGGGAATTCTGAATGTGTTCATTGTTTGCTTTAGAAACAACTCCAGAATTTAGAAGATGCTTGTGACGACATCATGCTCGCGGAAGAGGACGGCGTCATGATACCTTACCAGATCGGCGATGTGTTCATCAGCCATTCTCAAGAAGAAACACAAGACATGTTAGAAGAAGCAAAGGTATGCGGGACTCTTTCCCTGGGAGATGAAGTCTAATTCTTAAGTTAGGGTTTTATATCGCGATGAAGAGCTCATAACTGTAGGTGGAGAAATAATGGACCCTGGCTGACGGCACCACTTTGGTGTAATGACCAGGCAGACTGTGTGCTTTCCTAGTGTCTTTATTGAATCCTAACCAGATCTGTTATTATCCCAACCTAAAATGAGGAATGGAGGCTTAATGAGGTTATAGGACTTAATTCCAAGGGGTACATAGGCAGCGAGTGGTCTTCTGACTCTAGAACTTTGCTCTGAAAATGTTAGAGAGTACAGCATATTGTAAAGTAGACAAGAAAAATTCTCCCTAATCCCACCATCCACAGCGAATATTTTCATGTATTTCTGTTCTGCTGTCTTCCTCTGTTTCTCTGAGTTTTGCCTCCCGCCTTGGTCGGTTACCATTCTGGTGGGGACGTCGGCTCCTCCGTTTAATGTTTGTCTAGTAGGTCCCTGCTGGAGTCTTCTCTGGGTCAGCACACAGGCTTTAACAGCGTCCTTTTTTCTGATTTGCTTAGTGTCATCTTTCATGGCACTGATTTGGCCGTGTCTTTTTAACATTAATTTGTCTCCAATATTTTGTCACAGCAGTGTCACAGTGAGCTTTCTTATATGTCTTTGTTCACGTTTAAAATGTTGTTTTGATGAAATAATCAGAGAAATGCGATAACCGGGTCAGAGATTGGATTCTTAGACAATAGTGGAGGCAAGAGATAGATGCAGTGTGGGAGATTATTCCCATTTGCTTGCTCTCTGATGTCTGACAGAGGTCACCGTGTGGTGTACGAGAAGCTCCTGCTGTTAGATGCTTCCTAATACTTAACACGAATTAAGCCCCCATCAATTAACCCTGGGAAGAAGCAACCTTTTTACTCCAGGATCTTTCCATGTAGAAACACTGTCTGTCTCTTTTATGTTTAAATTCTTTCTTTCCTAGTCAGATTTTGTGATTTAATTTTTTAACCACGTCAAAACGCTTTGCTCCTACTGGACGCATTTCAGTACAGTTTATGATTTTCCTGCTTATTGTGAATGCCCTCCCACCACATAGGTGTAAACACTGACCTTCATTTCGTCATCTCTTCATGCGTGCATTCACTCGTTCCAGAAGCGTTTGTTGAGGGCTTACCTCTGTCAGGATGTGCCTTGTCCTGGGCTGCAGGGGTCAGCAGAGAATATGCCTGCTTCCTGCCCCTGGAACATAGAGTCTTGAAGCAAAGAGACACTGTCCATGGCAGTGAAATCCAGGAAATCCAGGGAGTCCCTGCTGCCCTGGTCTGGACATCAGGCGGGAGAGGGCTCCCTGGGCAAGTGACAGTCTAATAGCCCCTTTCGGGGGCAGAAAGGGGGTAGGATGGGTTCCACTCAGAACAGACAGCATGTGTGAGTGGTTATAAAGCAGTTACGGTGGAGAAAGAGAACCACGAGTTTCGTCTGCTGGCTCAGTTTGGGACGTGTGAAGCTGTGGTCGAGATGCTGGGCAGCTCTGTCGGTTGAGTTTGGGTAAACTGCGCTTTGTGCTGAGACAAGGGTCAGCACACTGAGTGCGCAGAGCCAACACGTACAGATATTAGGCTTCGCCGGCCGTATGGGCGTTCACGGCTCCTGTGAAAGTGACGTGCACGAATGGATTTGCACACCCGTGTTCCCATGAGACCTTAGAACCAGGAACTTCGGGCTGGATTTGCCTTGCGGGCTGTCATTTGCTCAGCCCTGTCCTACATCAGGGTGAGCCTTTTGGGGATTTTGAGGATAGAGTGATATGATGGGACTTGTAATTTTAGAGTAATTTTCTAGTGTCCTATTACATACAGTAAGTCCATGGCTTATAAACAAGTGCCACTCTGTCAGATTCATTGGTAAGTTTGACCAGTGAGACTTTGACACAAATATACAATGTATACGGCTTCCCCTTCCTAGCAGTCCCCTCCACGACACCACTTCTTGTCTTTTGCTTCTGGACACGCTGGGCTCTGAGTGTACCACTGCACACTGTTGTCCTGTACAGTCAGCACACAGCAGCACACCTATGACAGTGGTGGGCAGACATGTGAGCTACTTCTGCAATTTGTTTAAATTTATATATGTTCGTAATGCGAGTTTGGTTAGTGTCAGTGAAACTTCAAAACTCAAATGTTTGTAAGTCAGGGACTTACTGAATTGGGGTTTTCTAGGTATAGACGTTTTATCTTCTTTCTAGGAGTTATATGTCTTGTTTCTGTTTTTTGTCTTGTAATAGTGGTTCTCAGATTTGTAGCACACATCAGGATCACGATCACTGTCTTTATTTTCTTGTTGCTGAGACAAAATACCAAATACCCACAAGTTAAAGGAGGAGAGATTTATTTCAGCTCATCGTTAGCAGAGATTTCAGTCCATAAACAGCTGGCTTGAAGGCAGGGTGGCTTGGCAGAGGAGCATGACAGAGGTGAAACAGTTCATGGCAGATCAGGCAGGAGGCAGCAAGCAGCGAGCAGCAGCAGCAGCAGCAAGCCTGCCTTCCCGTCTTCCCTTTATATTACATCCAGGCTACAACCCTGTTGATTGGTGCCACCCAAACCCAGAATGGGGCTTCCATTATCCATATCCAGAACTATGCTGAACTAATTTAGTTATCACATACTATTTTTTTGGGGGGTACTGAGGATCGAACCGAGGAACTTGTGCATGGGGGGCAGGCGGTGCACCTCTGAGCTAAATCCCTGGTCCCCTATCATATATTTTAAATCCCACCATCATCCCACTGTCTTCCGCCCTTATGAAGCATCACACTTCCATGATCCAGATGCCACCTCCCCAAAACACCTGTGAGCACGTATGAGCCTTTGGGGGGACATCTAGACACAGGCCGTGACACTCACCCTCAAGTTGTTTTTCTACAAATTTAGACTGTTGGGTCCAACCTAAAGAAGTTCTAATCTGTATTTCACCAAGTTTCTAGATCAGTGATGGTGAAACTTCTGGAGCTTTCAGTGATTATAACAGCCTTCTGTGTCACGCATGCCATCCCTGCCCTAGGGGATTCTGCCTGGATCCTGCTCTGGGGCATTGAGAAGCACTGGGCAGATTTTTTTTTTTTTTTTTTAAGAGACATGGTCTTACTATGTAATTGAGGCTGGCCTTAAACTAGAGGTGCTCCTCATGCCTCAGCTTCATGAGTGCTGGAATTACAGGCCTGTACCACCATGCCTGGCCATTGTTTGGATTTCTAAGAGTAGCATTGCCACTGCTAAGTATTTTTCTTTTGCTCCGAATGTTAATGGGTATGACACTTGTATGATTTTATAGCTTCTTTGTTATGTTTAGGGAAAATTCTTTCTTTGAGCCGAGGCAGCAAAGACCCTCTAACATTTCCTGTGGGTGAACCTACTGTGATTTTAAAGAAAGCAACTCTTCCAGAGTTCAGCATCGGGGCCTTGTAGTTAGTGACAGTTTCTGCCAGATTTTGACCATACATTGTTATTACTAATTATTGGTGGAATCAAGTTTTTATCATTTCTTCTGCATGGTTCTTTTAAAATTTTGTTTATTTTTTGGGGTACTGGGGATCAAACTCAGGACCTCACGCTTGCCAGGCAGGCTCAGTGCCACTGAGCCGCATCCCCTGTGCCGTTATTTTTGTGGTAAGTTATGAAGAGTGGTGTTGAGGTTAGGCAAGCCCATGGTAAACTGTTTATAGAAGTCTGTGTATGTGGATCCTTCTTTATTAGAGTATGATGCTTTAGGAATTAATTTTCTTTAGCTACTATGGTTTTTACATCAGCAGAAACTGGAAAAAAAATCAGGACTTATTCTGTGATAAACAAGTATGGGTCTGAATTAAAATGCTCACTTTCAGATTTCTTTTGTTTTTAAATCTAATGATCCTTGTTATTTAGCTGCTTAAGTTTAGAAAATTCTTCCCAAATATTAGTTCAAACACAGATGCTCAGAACTCGTCCAGTTGGATAGAACTAACTTAAACTTTTTTTTTTTTTCAGAAAAATTTGCAAGAAGAAATTAATGCCTTAGAATCCAGAGTAGAATCAATTCAGCGGGTGTTAGCAGATTTGAAAGTTCAGCTATATGCAAAGTTCGGCAGCAACATAAACCTTGAAGCTGATGAAAGTTAAACATTTTATAATACCTTTTTAAATTTGTTTAATAAACTTGAATATTGTTTAAAATGATAATTTCCCTTCTTCAAATGACATGGAAAGGAAAACTTTCTTTTTTTAAAGTTTTCATTTGTTTAGTGGAAACTTGCCTATTTTCACATGTCTTGCTTATTTATTTTATATTTTTAAAAGAAGACAGTATTCATCTATGTATTTTGCATAATGATTATATCAGTTCTAGGGGCTTTATGTCATGTTATTAAAATCAGTTAAACAATCTTGTCTATGTTTCTATATTATTTAGAATACTTGTTGCAGTTTTCATTTACAGAAAAGGTAACGGTTGCACCCTATATTTGTATGTCTGATTCTGGTTGCTGTCTAAGAATGGTGAAAGCCCTACAGAAATGTACAGTCCTGCACCTGTCCACTCTACGAACTTCACAACGAAAACTTTGTCATTTACCAAAAAGTATGTGTATATTTCAATACGTAATTTACATCATCAAGCATTTAGCATATCTTTTACGTATACCAATGTCTTAGATGTTGGTGAAAGAATAGGTGATGTTCAGTTATGCAAAGACATGGTGGTTTTCTTACCAACATAGAACAGAACAGAAAAACATTTTAGAAACCAAGCGACATGTCTGTTTTAAGTTTTAGACCTAATTTTAGCACTTTGTAATTTTTTGCTTTGAGACGGGTCTTGCTATGTCCCTGGGTTGCCCACACGGGCCTTAGACCTTCAGTCCTCCTAACCTTATTCTCCCCAGGTTCTGGGATTACAGGTGTGCACCACAATGCCCGGCTAAGGCTTATTTTTTGAATAAAAAATGCATTTGTCCCCTCATTTCCTTCACAGAAGACATTGGTTTAGGATTTGGAAGTTGTAGATGCGTTGCCTTTCCACCAGATGGCACTGATGTGCCAGAATAGCAGAAGGATCGTACTACAAAAAGGGTATTTTTAGGATTAATGTATACAATTTTAGAAGAAAAAATTTTTAACCTTCTAGGTTATAAACATTGCATGTATATCTTTTGGTTAAATGTTTATAATCTGTAATTTCAGCTTACAGATAGAATGTAAAATTTCTAAAATTTTTTTTTTTTTGTGGTACCCGGGATCGAACTCGGGTCCTTATGTTTGTGAGGCAGGCCACCGAACTGCTGAGCTAAATCCCTGGTCCTCTAAAATCCTTAATAGCATAAAATCAAACTTACATTGCTACGAAGTCTTCTCAAATAGTAGTATTCAAATTGTAAGAAATGACTTACCAGGATATTCCTGAGTGTGGTCTGCTAACATTGAGTTGGGAGAAACTAGGGGCATATTTTTGTACGATTGCAGCAGGAAAACAGGAACATGCTCGAGGTAGAATAATTTCCCAGAACTCCAGGCAGAATTGCAGAGGTGGGGGGCTAAGGTTAGGAACCTCTTGTGCCCTTACAGGTCAGGTGAGGGAAGCACCTGTTCCCCTTCAGTCTGGAGCCCTGGGAAAGGCTGCCTTTATTGGCAGGAGCACAGCCCCTGTGACTCCCTGCAGTGATGAGCCAGGGAATGAGGGTCCAGGTGCAGTCTCTCTTCCTGCAGAATCCACCTGGGTCCCACGGTTGGCCAAGTCGACCAGCATCCAGAGGTGGGATGTCTTCCAAAGGCAGTGATCGGGTGAGCCACGGGAGAGGCTGGCAGAGACAGTGATGGAGGGCACTGCTGAGAAATTTCAGTGACCACTTAACGTGATGTGGATACAGGGGAATGGTATTAAATAACAAGCTCAATCCCTTTACAAACTTTAAAATGTCTGTAGCCTTTTGTTAGTGAACTCTTTTTTTTTTTCTTGGTACAGGGGATCGAACTTGGGTCCTTGAACTTGGAGGCAGGTGCAGAACCAGTAGGCTAAATGCCTGGTCCCTAGTGAACTCTGCTGTAAGTGACCAGTAAACCCCATGTGTGGCATCTGAGGTTTCTAATGCCTATTCCAGCCAGTCGTCTCCATGTGGACGCTTGATCTCGGTTTGTCACTGCTAACTATTTTTTGAGGCAGGGATTCTAATTTTTGTGTGTAATTACTGTTTTTAGACAGTGCAGCTTTGTTTTGAGCATTGCAGATTAAACAACAGTGTTGATCTTTGGGCTGCCACTTTGAAGCCTCAGGTGCACAGTCTGATGCTTCAAATCCAGGCCTTTGATAGAAAATGGGAGACAGTTGGCACTGAATTCTGCTTTGCTGCGCTGCTGACTTGAATTCCTGCCCATCTCTCCCCACCTCCACCACCACCCTCACCCTTGTCCGAGCCTTGAGAGCTCTCTCCTCAGAAGTTTACTTGTTTAGCTGGGGTTTTTGGGATTGTTTTTGGTACCGGGGATCGAACTTGGGCCCTTGCGCTTGCGAGGCAGGCAGTGGAACCACTGAGCCAAACCCCTGGCCCTTAGTTGGGGTTTTGATAGCGAGAGGCTGGAGGAATCTAAATGGTATGAAACAGGTCATATCCATGAATTATGCAGCAGAAATTTTACTATGAAGGGGTGAGGGGAGGATAGCAGATGTGACCGCGCCTTCCCAGGTGCACGCAGTCACTTGCAGGACAGAAGGAAGGCTAGGACTTCGAAGAGGTGGTGAGCAGCAGGTCCTGACCACAGCTGAGGAGATGGAGGCGTAGAGAAGAGAAAGCCAGAGCAAACTCGGTTTTGGGCACAGGCCGAAAACAGCATGAAATAGGAGTTTTCTTATTTGTGGCTCTCGGGGTTTGAAAAGAGTTGCATTTGTTGCCACAATAAAATTCAAAGCTCGTTACAAATTTATAGCTCGGCAACACCGAAACCTATTTCCAGATGGCGACTTCCAGCTGTTGGCCTGTGGTGTGAAGTGAGCTGACCCTAGTTCACCTGAGTCCCCAGGCTGCTTCTCCCATCTGTCTCCTGCCTGTCCTTGGGTGGCTGTGTGTCCCCTGCTGGTACCGCTGGCGGGGGTAGCACCGTAAGCGACGTCTGGTGTGCAGTGGGGACAACGAACAGCAGGAAGAGCATGAGTTTGGCATTGGACACCTCAGCCACGAGAAGATACGTGATGGACCACCGGGGTTCTGAATTGAAGTATGAGGTGTGCCGGCCTCAGAGGACATTTGAGAACCTTAGAAAAAGAAAAACTTAAGGCCCATCAAGACCAACCCGAGATTTTGTTTCAAAGCAGAATATAAACAGCAGATTGTGCCTGCTGCTTGGGTAGGGCTGTGGTAGTGCCGAAGAGCCTGCATTCCTAATGAGTTCTGTGCTGAGGCTGCTGGTTCTGAGAGAGAGGAGGACTTAGGAAAATGAGCCGGGAGGAGAAGGAACTAGCAAAGGAGATGGTTAGCACAGGTGTAGAATCCTGGGGGCCAAACAGGGCTGGAGGCAGGCGGGAGTGGTGGGAGGCGACATCCAGTGTCGTGGGGCCCAAACCCGAGAAAGGAGCCATATTGGGTGGCTGAGAAGTTCTCACTTTCCTCTAAGAAGGGTGAACTCACCCTAGGCCTACACACACCTGGACTCGGGAGGAGGGCTGCACAGGACCCTGGTGTTTCCTGGTTTTTGTTTTTGTTCCGCTCAGAATGCAGCCCAGGGCCTTGTCCACAGAAAGCACTTGCTCGACTGCTGAGCTCCTCCTCAGTCCCCGGCCTCAGAGTCTCAGGGTGCTGCCCAAGCGGTGTAAAGAACCTTCTCTCCGCTGTGAAGCCTGAACACACGGAAGTGGCCTCCAGTTCAGTACATGGGGCCGCAGTGTTGACGTCGCCTGGCAACTTCTTACAAATGCCAGGTTTTCACAGGACTGAACCCTGAAATAAATGTTCCCCAGGTGGGCACGCCGTTGAGTGTACAAGGGACATTGCCTTTTAAGACTTTCACAGAAAACATGGGAGCGGGGTGCAGTGTGTCAAGCAAGTGGCTTGAGTGTGTCCTTGCACATCCGTATGTGGCACTGAACCAGCCCCCAGTGCAATGCTGTTGTGAGCGAGGGTGACCTCCAGAGGTGCTCAGGTCACGAGGGCTCTGCTCTTGTACATGGACTGATGTCCATACTGCAGGGCAGTTTGTCATCACGACAGCAAGTTTATTAGAAAACTGGCTTTGGGCTGGGTGCGGTGGGCACATTTCTGTAATCCAAGCTGCTCTGGAGGCTGAGGCAGGAGGGTGGCAAGTTCAAGGCCAGCCTGTACAACTTAGGAAATTTTGTCTCACAATTATAAACGAGATCCATCAGGGCAGAATAAGGGCCAGCAGAACTCACAAGCTGCTCGGAGACTCCTCTAAATGAACAGGTACATGGCTGCCTGAGGAGAGGAGGAGCATAGGAAACTGCTGGAATGCAACCTGAGTGAGAAGTGACCCGATGAAATCCAGAAATAGTGATATTTAGAATAACAAGTGAAGTAGCAAGCCTCACACTTTAACACTGAGTGCTGGGCTGCTCAGGGGAGAGGGGAGCCTCCCTTCCATGAGACTGAAGAAAAACCCTAAGAAAGTGCAAGCTCTGCTGTGGGACCAATGAACGGCCTGCGCAGAGGGTGACCTGACTTCTGCCAAGTGACAGGAGGAACAGCACGGCTAATTCCTAGCCTCTCTATGCGGGTTGCAGAAAATAAACCAACCAACAAACCGACCAACCTTACACAAACAGCCTCTAAGTAGGTAGATATTAACAAGGAGGTATCAAACATATATTTTCTTTTGGCTGTTCAAAGATAACCAAGGGGTCGGGCGTGGTTGCGCACACCTGTAATTCCCAGTGCTCCGGAGGCTGAGGCAGGAGGATTGCTGTGAATTTTTGTAAAGAGAAGACTCTTACCAATCCTATTCGTTGCTATGTTCTTAGTACTTAGTACAGTACCTGGAACACAAAGGCAATCAACTATTTATTAAACAAATTAATCCAGAAACCAGAATACTATAAAAAATAAGTTAAAAGTATAAATTAATCTGCTGCCTGCCTCGTAAATTCAAGGACCCAAGTTTAACCCCCGTCCCCAAAAAAAAAAAAAAAAAAAAAAAAAAAAAAAACACCAAACAAACAAACAAACACGACAACAAAAGCAAAGACAACCAAGGGTAGACTTTAAGGAAGCTTGAAATATCAAGAAAGTTTTGAATTCAGATAAAATCATGAATCTTAATTTGGTATTTTTGGATGAAAGCCCAAGGTGGGGGGATGAAATCTATAATTCAAAGAATGAAGTTTAAATGGGTGTAAACTGTGT